GTTGCCGAAGCCACGCGTACGTTCTATTGGGGTCGTTGAGAGTCATATTGTTGTAGTCGTGCATGTCCTACTTCATTGGATAACGCCGTCGCATCTGAACTCGGAATAGTGACCCCAGTATTATCGTCAGGTGGTTCGCGGCATTCCAATAATTGGTTGCCCCAGTCACACTGAACCGTTGTAGGTCGTCGTCCCGCATGCGTAGTAGATGCAGACGCTCAAAGTCGTGCAGGGTGTCGTCGATTGCAGTGCCTTTGTAGGACTGTAATAACGTCGAGTAGATTTGTCTGGCCTTGAGCATGCGGCCGGCTTTGTGCTCCTGAGCCGTGAAGTTCTTGATGCGGTAGCGTAGCTCAGAATTCAGAACAGCAGTCAGTCCGGCTGCGAGTCTGCAGTCGATGCTCCCGGAGTCGCCGCTGTCCTGAAGATCCTCGCAGGTCGCTGTGGGCTGTACTGCAACGCACTGCCAAAATTGTTGCGAACCGTCTGCTGCCACTCTTGTAGTTGTGTAATGCGTGGCAGTTGTGGTGCACGGACGGTGTCGGACTCCTTGATGAGAGTTGCGGCGGTAGCAGAGGCGCGCGATAACGTCTGCGAAAGAACCGGTTGTGCTGGAGATGGAGGTTGCACAGGAAAAACGCGAGCCGTCTGAGTAGAGGCCGCGGCTGAAGCGGCACCCGGCGAGGCGCGTCGCGCATGGCCCGTGCGGATGTCACCATCCGCGCGCGTAGGAGTGCGTCGATGGTCTGGAGGTCGGCGTTTGAGCTCGGCGTTGCTGACGCGCGAAGTCAGCGTGGCATCGTTGGTCCTAACGCTGCGCTGCATGTGGTGGACGCTCTGTTGAAGACCACGTAACTCGACTTTGGTGTCGTGGGTCCGCTGGGAGTACCTGCCCAGCCAGGGCTCAAGGTCTCGGAGTCGTTAGCTGTGTGCCTCGCGCTCTTGCTCCGAACGGGCTTGGATCGAGTCGGCCCATTTTTGTTTTGGGGGGGGCCCGCCGCCAGCCGCGCATCGGCCGCGCCGGCGTCGAGGGAGGCGAAATCGTAGACCGAAGTCGGGGCGCCCAGCCGATCAGTCTGGGCCCGCGCAACACGCAACTCAGCCAGCGCAGTCCGCACTTCGGGGAACTGCTGCTCGACCTGGGAGACTCGGTTCTCGAGCGTTGCCACGCGTCCTTCGAAATCTTCAAGACGGCGAGTGAGGGCCGCCCCGGCACCGCGCAGCTTACCATCTAACTCGGACGCGAGGGTGGCGCGGGTGGAGTGCATCGCAGCAGCGCGCTGGTGGACATGGGCGCGAAGCGCATCCAAGTCATCACGTAGCTGAGAGCCCGTAGTTCCATGTACCTTCAAAGCTGGGGTCTGTCGCACCATCAGGAGCTCGTCGCGAAATTGCCCGACAGCGGCAGCCCCTGTACCCCTGGCGATCGCAAGTTGCGCCTCCATCCGTCGGAGGTAGTCGTGAAGCGTCTGGATCGTTCTGGAGTCGGCATCTCGGCGTGACTCCATCTGGACCTGGGATTGGACCTGAGAGATGATCGATCGATCCTCGGCGATCCTAGCATCGACCAGTCGTAGCTCCAGTCTGATCGTGGCCGTCTGATCGGCCAGACCCGATAGCTGTCGGGTTGCGCATGTCTCAACCTGGCCTCGAAAATCAGCCAGATCACTGGCAGTTGGAAAGGATTGCGCAACAAGGTTGCGCTGCTGAGAGCCTTGCCGGGAACGGCTCTGCGAGGGGCTGCGGCTGGCGTCTCGAGTAGGAGAACGAATGTGATAGCTTTCAAGAACCTGTCGCTGAGAGGTCCGTCCAGTGCGATTCCCTATGGCCCGCGCATGTTCTGAGACGGAGACATTGGTTGGCGACGGGACCTTAGCCCAGCGGCGGCTACGAGCGAAAGCAATGGCAGGAGACACGTTCGCGGCGCGACGGCCGCTGCGGGCGTGGCCACTGACGCCGGGGCGAGCGAAGGTGGGCGGGGAGGCAGTAGGCGTTGCGAAGCCAGCGTCGGCTTCGACGACAGACGCGACAACTGCGGGCGCGGCCACCGACGGGCGGGATGCATCAGGCTCCGCGGGAGGCGAATGCAGCCACCGTCGCGAGGGTCGAGGCGCGCGGGCGCGCGGGGGCGGCGGAAGCATCGGATAATCAGGTAAGAGGTCCCCGAGAGCCGCCGCGAAAGACGCAGCACTGCCGTCACCTGAGAGGGAGAACATGGGCATCGCAGTTTCTCGTGCCCTCCCCATGATGCCGTTGCTATCATGCGTCGTCGAGGAGATCGCACGCTCGCGGGCAGCACGACGAAGTTGTGACGCCAAGCGGCGGAAGCCAAGATGACGAGAATTGCAACAGCAAAGAGCGGTTGAGAAAAGGCTGATAACCTGTGAGCAGAGGGACACGGCCGAGGGGCCGTTCCTGTACGGGGTCCTTAGGTAGAGGCTAGGAGGATGACTCCTTTTCCAAGGCACTGCGCAGCATGCAATGCACAGAGGCTGTTTGGCCAAAAGCCAATAGCCAATACCTGAGCCAATACATTGACGGAGGGGATGTAATAGGGAAGCGAGCGGACTTCACACACAAGGGGAACCTCCTGCCCGAGCACATACCCGTCCACGAGCTCGTTCAGCACCCAGGTCCCGGCGGTTCCCGCCAGGCGGGGCGCGGGCGGCAGTGGGGGCGCTCCCAGGAGGGGAGGCGGTGCCACGGGCAGCGGCGTCGGCGCCGCGGCCGGCGCCACCCCGCCCGGCCCCGAGCGCGTGGCGACCCCTGGAGGAGCGGCCAGCCTCCGCACAGCTCTCTCGACCTGCGCGTGCCGCTCGCCCTCGGCCAGCAGCTGGGCGAGCTCCCCCGCATTCGGCTGCGCCGGGAAGCGGTAGATCTGCGCTCCACACAGTCTCAAGGGCAGCTGACCGTCTGTGCCACCCAGCCAGAGAGCCTGCAGATCAGTACTGGCGGCATCCACCTGCTCGATGAACATGTCCAGATCCGGCGTCAGGACCACATACTCACTCGCCGTCACCCAGCTGAAGATGATCCGCTCATGAAACACATCATCTCCATCATAGCATAGAAAGGCTGACGAACCAGGCGCCAGCACAGCCATCTTATGCTTGGATGATCACTCCTCCTCGGCCCTTGCCCTTCCGTAGAACCAAGGCACTACCTCCAGCAACTTGCGTGATCGACGGGCCAGGGGTTTCAACTGGGCTGGTCTGGTCTAGCGCCACGGACGGGGCCGTAACTATCTCTCCTCCGCCTCGAGCACCCTCCCGCCCAGCAAGCCCCGACCGCACCTCCGAGCGCGAGCCCGGCCGCCGCCGCGAGCACGACGTCCCCTGTTCCCCAGCCTGGCAAGGGGCAGATCGGACACGTCGGGCACACAGGTACGTAGTCGGCAGGACCGCACCGATTGAGTTGCTCCCGGAGCAGCTCGATGAAGCTCGCGCCGACGGAGCCTCCAGAGCGGTGGCAAAGAAAAGGCTGAGGAACCGCCCAGCTGCTCAGCCAATTGCCCACCGCACTGGTCACTACTCCGTGGAAATAGGCCGTGAGGATGCCCACAAGACACAAAGAGGACCTGTGAGCCAGATGATTGCAGAGCAAACAGTCGAGAGAACGCCATTCCAAACCCACCCCTGGCACTCACTACCCTGTATACAGAACCGTCACGGAAAGTAGACGGGTTCGTTTCGACGCTGTCTACACGAAATTTCACTGCCACCTGCGCAAAACATATCATGTGACGATTGTCCTACCCTGATGTGGACTATCACTCGGCTGCGCGGCGGCTACTGGTGGATATCGTGGCGCGGCCGGAAGCCTCACGCGGAATTCGCGCAAGGCTTCAAAATGTCACGCGTCCCTCGCGTCGCCGTTCTGACTGAGGCCAGGGACACAATGACACATCTGTTTCACGTGCCACGCGTAGAATGTGTGCCGCTCGTGGTGTGATTCGCGGCGTCATTCTCGACAACTGGTCTGCCTGTCGGATAAGTATACTTATATCAAATGTGTGCTATGTTCGGTCACTGTTCTGTCAAGGGCGGGTCAGCTTCGGGCATACTTACGGTGCCGATTTTCTGACCTGTGTTTGTTGTTTCAGCCGTCTTGGACTTCCAATTCAATTGTAGCATAGCTCATGACGCATGAGAGAAGGGTTGGTTTGTCGCGGTGTCGCGCATTGAACCATATCGTCGCCTTTGCGCAAAACACTGAAACCAAACGCACACTACGGCCGGAACCTTCAGGCCAGGTCGACCCTCCGACGCTGAGACGGGATGGCTTGCCAGAAGCTATCGCATGCCAGAGCACGACGGATCAGGGCCGATGCCGAACAAACACAGGCTGCTACTTGTTGCAGATATTGGGATTTGCACGGCCGAAAATTTTGCGCGACGCCGGGTGTCGCTCGGAATTGTCCGATCGACGCGTCAGCGCCTCGGAGTAGACGAAGGGGTGGATAGCGGAGGGAGGAGGGCGAATCAACTACGCGTTGAATGGTTTTCCTGGCGCCTCCTGGCGCCGGAGGCGGCCATGTATCAAGCAAGGTGCATGGCGGCGGGGGCGAAACCAGCTGCACGCAGCAGATGTTGCATCCCCCCTTTCCCAACCCACACCGTGATGATACGCGTACGTTTTCAGTTTGCCGGATCGGCTCCCGATGCCAAAACGTGGCCCCAAGGAAAACCGATGGGGGAATTAGTACCGCCGTTTCGAAGCCCTCGCCAAGCTCCAGCTGCTGGAATGGGGCCTCGACGCTCGAAGGGGCCAAGACAATAGCGGATAGCAACGACAGAGTCTGCTTACCCACCCCACCCCACCCCACTTCGTCCGCGTCGACCCCGAGCCTCCCATCTGCCCCACGACATTCCGACGGCGGCCGAACCCCTGATATCCTCCGCGGCCCCCCTCCTCGGCCCCCCTGTTTGCCCCCCTGTCGGCCCCTCGCACTTGCCTCCCCGAGCCTCCCTGTCTGTCCACCTGCGGTGTCCCCCCGCGGCCTCCTTGTTCGGCGCCGGCGTCAGACGCCGCGTGACCGCGGTGAGACAGCCCACCGAGGGCATGGGCCTGGGGCCCGATGTCGGGGGCTCGACGGGGAAGTGTCAGAGGAGGAGGAGGAGGAGGAGGAGGAGGACGACGAGGACGAGGAGGACGAGGAGGAGGAGGAGGACGACGACGACAAGAAAAGGAAGAGGAAGCAGGATGTGGAGGAAGAAACAGAGACTGAGGGGGAGGAGGAGGAGGAGGAGGAGGAGGAGGAGGAGGAGGAGGAGGAGGAGGAGGACGAGGAGGAGGAGGAGGAGGAGGAGGGGGAGGAGGAGGAGGGGAGAGGAGGAGGGGGAGAAGGAGGAGGAGGAGGAGGGAGAGGGGGAGGAGGAGGACGAGGAGGAGGAGGAGGAGGAGGAAAAGGAGGAGGAGGAGGAGGACCATCGCATGATTTCAAACAGGGTCCGACTCCGCTCAGCTAAGGCGGCTCGAGCGATTGCGAGGCTGCGCTTGGGCATATCATAACAATTTGAATGGGCGTTTTGGAAACCATGTGGCTCTTCTTTGAGCCTTTGGGGTGTCTCCCGTCACACAAAGCTTACCATGCAGTTTGCTTGAATGCGGAATTGAATGTGTTTGGGCATCGCTGGTGGACGCTTTTCAACGTACACTCCATGTACTGATCACACCTCTTGCAAGCGAGGGCGAAGGAATCGTCCTCACTCTTACCCAAAAACAAACATATGATGCCGATTGGGCTGGATGGCAACCTTGGCAAGGCCTGCCGCACTGCCTTGGCACTGCTCATTCTCTCTTGCCTTCATGGAGGCTTCCTCGAAACATCTCGAGTGGCAGACCATGCAGAACCATTTTCTGGCGACGCCAAACGTGGGCGGAACGAACGGTCCGCGGGGCCCGAGGGGGGGGAGGGGCCGCAGCAACCCCAGGCCCAGGAAATCCCTTTGAAATCCGAACGTATCTTAGAAATACGTCTGAATTTGCTGGCTGCAAAATACGTTAGAAACGCTGCTGTTGGCGAGGTCGGGGGGGCCCACCCCCCACGGGCCCGCGCAAGAGGAGGAGGAGCAGGAGGAGGGGGAGGAGAAGGAGGAGGAGGAGGAGGAGGAGGAGGACGACGACGACGACGAGGAGGAGGAGGAGGATCGTTTTCCCATGCTGCGCGCGAGGGCCACGGATGATCTGCGTGAAAGGTGAACGCGTGCTGCGATCGAGATCGGCTCGCACAGGCCCGATCTCTCGCGCGAGATAGATCGGCTGAAACTCACACGGGTCCTGACTGGTGAAAGTGGAGAGGGAAGGAAGCGAAGCAGGGAGTTTTAGCCAGGAGTGCGCGGCACCCCTCTCGGAGCCGCGGTCCTTTTTGAACCGAGAGGGCTGCGGTCCTGCGCCCTCACCACATCCCTAAACTATACTCATAGCTCTGGCACGCCTCCTCGACGCGTCTTTGCGGAGCGAGGCGCGGCGCCCCCCGCAGAGCCTCCCGTTGGGAGCGGTCAGTCAGGGGCTGCGGTGCACCTTCAGGCGCTGGCGCTCGCAGCCGATGTCGTCGCCGCCAGCTCGACCAGCTCGTCGGTCGTCGGCCTCGGGCCCCTTTGTGCCCTGGATGGCCCCGCCGCCATCCTCGCCAGCCCGTGGGCAAGGTTCGCCTTCAGGCCCGTCGTGCTGAGGCCACGCGCCCGCAGCGCTGCCCTCAGTTCGTCCAACTTGTAGCGCATCAGCTCGTCTCTGACGGCTATCTGCTCGCCGCTGAGTGGCACGCCGTGGAGCTCCTCGTACTGGCACTCCACGATCCTCGACGCGATCTGTCGTCGCTGCCGAGGTCCTTCCTTGGTCGGCACGGCGCCTCCCGCTGTCAATCCCTTGTCCGCGCTCGCCGAGGCTGGAGGCGGCGCTTCCCGCTCTCGTCCGCCCTGGACAACAAAAAAACTCCAACGTGAATCCTGAATCCGGAATCCGGAATCTGGAATCCGGGGGAATCGGGACTCCTGGTACCCGGGAAACCGGAATCTGGGAATCTGGAATCCGGAACTCGGATCTGGAATCCGGAATCCGGAATCCGGGAATCGGGAATCCTTGTATCTGGGAATCCGTATTTTTTAATATACAAGAAAAAATGCAACGTGAATCCGGAATCCGGAACCCAGAATCTGAAATCCGGAATCTGGGAATCGGGACTCCTGGTATTATAACGTCGGCGGTCCGCTAGCTCTGGAAAGTGCACAATTCGCAGGAAACGATCCAAAATGCATGTTTGGACCAAGTTTCCGAAGTCGAGCAAAAAGTATTGTAAATGCATGTTGGATCTGCAAAACAAGGAACCAATAATCAAAAACGCGCGCATCATGAGCATGCACGCATCGGCAACGCGCAGCCTGCTCTTCTCCGCGCCCCGCATCCCTCCCAGACCGTTCGGTGCACGTTACTCCGCCCGCGCCCCTCCCCCCCCGTCGCCCGTTCGCCCAACCCCCTCTCCTAACCATCCTCTTCCCTTCCCCCAGCCTTTCGCTTCCCGTTCCTCATTGTTCTCATTATCC